CAGGAAGTAAAGGATTGGGAGAGGAGAGCTCTGGCAATGTGGTAGACCAGAAGTTCATAGATAGATTCCTTGCCCTGCATGGCTTAGCAAGAGGCAAAGTAAGGGGAGTCTTTAGAGATAAAAAAAAATGACAAAGTGAGAATCTATAGGGGTTAGGAAATTCTAAAGCCTAGCGTTTGTGTGAGGGTCTCGGCCAATCTCTGTTTTTCTAGAGTGTGTGTTTTAATAGATAGTGCATGTGGGATAGAAGACACAATATGGGACCCTAATGACCTAATATACGATATTGATCAACTTTAAATTTATTAAGATGAATATGTGAGCTATGATTTCTAAAGTCTCTGACAGAATTGAAACAAAGTCTATAACTTCCAAACTAGTAATGTGAGAAAGTAAATGAGAGGGGGGGAAATCAAATAAAAGAAGGCAAGAAAGAAAGGTAGAAAACTAAACAAATATAAAGCAAAAACTAAAATGATGTATCACAATCTACATAAATGATTTATACTCTGCAATTCAAAACAAAAGATTTCTAGACTAGATTTTTAAAATTCAATTTTAAAATATTTATAAGAGAAACCCCTAAAAAAGTAAGGACAAAGAAAGACTTCAACTAAAATGATGTGTAAAGTCATACTGGGCCAATACTCTGCAGAAGGAAGCAGGGGTGGCTGTCTTGAATATCAGGAAAAACCAGACTTCAAGATAATGAGCATTCCCACAAATGAAGGAGATGACTACATATTAATAAAGATGTTCAATTGACCAGGAAGATGCAGTTCTAAATATGTGTGCTCCTAATAGCATAATTTTGAAATGTGTTAAAAAGAAATTGTCGGAACTGTAAGAACAATTATCACATCCAAAATCACAGAGGGGCATTTTCACACATCTCTCTCAAAATTGATAGATCAAATAGATAATAAATCAGTAAGGAGTTAGAAGATTTGAAGAACACAATTAACAAGTTTGATCTAGTGGACATATGCAATATACAGAAAACACATTATTTTCAACACATGGAACATTTATAAAAATGGATCAGACAAAGCCCATAGAGAAAAACCTCAACAAAATTCAAAGAATTTATATTGTACAGCCCACATTCCCTAACAGTTAAATTAGAAATTAATAATGAAAAATAATTAAGGAGACCCCATACTTTTGAAAATTGACAAACACATCTTAACACATGAATCAAAGAAAAAAGCTGAGAATTAGTAAATATTTAGAACTGAATAATCATGAAAATACTCATCTGAACTGTAGGATATAGATACTAAAGCAGTATCAGAGGGAAGACTGTAGCCTTACTTCTTATGCTAGAGACAAAGAAGGTCTGTAAAGTAATAGACTGGGCATTCAACTCAGGAAGTTAGAGAAAGGAGAATAAACCCCCAAAAAAAGAAGGAAGGGGATAATAGAAATAAGAGTTTAAATCAATGATAGAAAAACTACTATATAATAGAAAGTATTAAAAAAAAACACCAAAATTGTGTTCTTTTTGTTGTTGTTCAAAAGACTAATACAGCTGACAAGCTGCTGGCAAGATTTATGAACAAAAAAAAGAGAAAAGACACCAATAACCAATGTCAGGAACAAAAAAAAATGGCATCCCTAGAGATAAGATGCTGCAGACATTTAACAAATATATATATATAGTGAGCACATGGTGCAATATACAGATCTTATAACATAGAAACCTACAACTGAAACCTATATGTTCATGTTGACCATTGTCACCCCAATAAATTTAATAAAAAAAGATAAAAACAGGATATTATTAACCACTTTATGATCATTTTGAATATTTGGTCAAAGCTCATAAATACCTAAAATATGTAACTCCCAAAGTTAATTCAGGAAGAAATACAAAACTTGAATCACCCAATAATCAAGATAATAGTGAATCATTAATTTTTTACCAAAAAAAAAATCAGACTTAGATGGTTTTGTAAGGAATTCTACAAAATAGCCAAGAAATGAATCATTCTAATCTTATACAAACTACCCCATGGTGTAGGAAAATGAAGGAACATGTGCCATTTTATGAATCAGAGATATCTTTGATGCTAAAAATGAATAGCTACAAACAGGAAGTGCAAAATTTTAAAAAATGTGTAATTTACAATTATCAAAATGTAGAAACCATGGAGAAAAGAAAACTAACAAAAGGTATGCAAAACTGTATTACAAAACTGTAGAGACATTATAGAAAACTTAAACAGAAACACCATTTTCATGAATAAGAAAACCGTATCCTAATCAAATATGTTAATTTTTCCAAAATTGACATATAGATTAATATAATTCCCCATCAAAATTCAAAAATGTTTTGTAATATTTTAAACTAGAGGCCCGGTGCATGAATTCGTGCATGGGTGGGGTCCCTTGGCCTGGCCAGCAATTGGGACTGGCCAGGGGGAGGGACTGTGGGAGGTTGGCCAGCCACGGAAGGTTGGCTAAGGGAGCACACTGACCACCAGGGGCAGCTCCTTCATTGAGTGTCTGTCCCCTGGTGGTCAGTGTGTATCATAGCTATTGTCCAGTTGTAAGGGTCGCTTAGGCTTTTATATATATAGATGATTCTAAACATTATCTGGAACAGCAAATGGTCAAGAATAGTATGACACTTCTGAAGGAGAGGGAAGAGAAGAAACAAGGCTTAGAAAGCAACAGTAATGAAAATTCTGTGGTATTGCCACAGGGAAAGACTAATAGACCAATGGAACAAAATTAGAAAGCCCCAAAATACACCCACACATATAAGGAAACTTGATATATTGTAAAATTGATATTGCAGATCAGTGTAGAAAAAAGATGTACTAAGTCAGTATATTCTGCTGGAACAAATGAAAAATAAAGCCTACTATATGCAAAAAATCAATTCCAATTTTAAATGGATGAAGAACTTATATTCTCTGATGTAATAAAACTTTTAAAGTTTTGTTTTTCATTTTTATTTATGATATTAGGTTAAGGAGGATTTCTTAAGATGTAAAAAGTGAAAATCATGCATGAAAAGATTCATAAATTCAACTGCATTAAAAGTAAGAGTATTCACCAGAGTAAAAAGAGCCACAAAATGGGAAATTATGGACATAATGCTAACAAAAGTTTAGTATCTAAAATACTGTATGTCAAGAACTACAAATGAATAAGAAAAGACAAATCAATTAAAAAATGGGCAAAGGCACAGATAGTTCACAAAAAACATAATTGACCAAATATATATATATATATATATATATATAAACATACCCAATCTCAACAATTTTTGAAATTAAAACCACCTTATAATTTTAAAAATTTAATTTTAAAAATTAAAACCACCTTATCTTTCCCTATGGCAATACCACAGAATTTTCATTACTGTTGCTTTCTAAAATTAAAACCATCTTATCCTATCTAATAAAAGAGCAACATGCAAATTGACCATCACTCCAACACACAAGATGGCCGCCCCCATGTGGACATAAGATGGCCAGCAGGAGAGGGCAGTTGGGGGGAACCAGGCCTGCAGGGGAGGGCAGTTGGGGGGGTCAGGCCTGCAGGGGAGGGCAGGGGGGGGACCAGCCCTGCAGGGGAGGGCAGTTGGGGGCGACCAGGTCTGCAGGGGAGGGCAGTTGGGGGTGACCAGGCTGGCAGGGGAGTGGTTATGGGGTGATCCAGCTGGCAGGCAGAAGCAGTTAGGGGCAATCAGGCAGGCAGGCGAGCGGTTGGGAGCCAGCAGTCCAAAGGGATCGGACCTAAACAGGAAGTCGGACATCCCTTGAGGGGTTCCAGATTGGAGAGGGTGCAGGCTGGGCTGAGGGACACACACACACCCCTGTTGTTTTCTAAAATTAAAACCATCTTATTAAATTATAAGATGCTATTTCACACCAGTTAGCAAAAATTAGCTTGATAATACCAAGCGCTAGAGAGGATATGAAGCAAAAGAAAGACTCATATATTGACAGTGAAAGTATAAATAACAAAGGGAAACATTTTGGAATTGCATGATAAAATTAAACACACACATACCACATAACTCAGCAATTCCAGTCCTATATTTAGACCCTAGAGAATGCTGATAGCAGCATATAATAACAGAAAACTGGAAACAATGTAAATGCCCATTGTCAAGGAAATGGGTAAATAAATGAGATAGTACATCAATAAAAAATGAAAATACTACAGCTATATACAATAGCAAATTTTACATATGATTGAGCAAAAAAAGCAAGCCACAGAAATATATCTGTAGTATATGGTTCAAAAGGCAGACACTTTTATTTATATTTTTATAATATACACACACACATACATACACACATATACACACACACACACACTCTTAACAAAATTAACACAGAAGCACGACAGCATAGTGATCGCTGGAAGGAGGAAAGTATCTACAGGTGGTGAGAATGGGGCCCGGGGGTGGACATGGGCTCATGAAATAGGCTTTGAAGATACTAGTAATATCTTTCTTGCATTGAATTATGTACTTTATAATACACATTTATGTTCTCTACAACCTTATGTGTGTATATTTCATAAAACAGTAAATAAACACAAAACCAGAGGCTAAACCACTACAACTGGAGCCCATAAAATGGACCCAGTGAATTCTGAAGGATGAATATGAGCTAGCAACGATTCGTTGAGGCTCCAATCCACCGCTGAAACAAGAGAAAAGCTTCACTTGAGTGAGAAGAAAGCTTCCAAGTAGGGCAGAGACTCCTGCTGGTGCCCTTGGAGGTTGCCAGGGAATTTCACGGAAAGTAAATTAATGATTTGAGAGGGAAAACTTGAGCAAAGGAGTGTTGACCTTCTTTTGTATCCAGGGAGGTACAGAATTTGCATCCTTCCAGATACAAAAAAAAGACACTGTCGTTATATATATATATATATATATATATATATATATTTTTTTTTTTTTTTTTTTTTACAGCTTCAGCACGTGAGTGAGAAGAGGGCATAAGCCACCCAGAAGGAACTTGGGACTTTAGTATACATGTAGGCAGCCAAAGGAAGGCCAAGGAAATGATGTATCACCTCCCCTGAAAACCTGAGGCATGCCAGATTCTATTCCAAGTTGCTACTTTCCTGAAGCGTTTTATAAATATGAAGACTTTGGTATCAGTTACTCAAACTGATATTAGGAATTTGATCCTTGGGTTAGCAGTGTTTTCTAAATCCAGGCCCCTCTGGCTTTCCACTCTGCCATTGTTAGTGTTTGGGCTTCTTGTCTCAGGTAACTTCAAACTCCTCATCTACCTTTCATGTATCATTAGGGTTTTTGCCTGACTCTTTTGTCAGTAAAGACTTTCCTAGAACCTTCCTATGGCCTTCCACTCATATCCCAGTAGTCAGAATGGTGTCACGTGGCCACTTAATTGCTGCAAGAGAGGCTGGGAAAGTATTTTGCCTTTGTGGCCTGGAGAGTAGGAGCAGGCAAGAATGAAGCAAAAAGGAGTGGCAGTGGTTTCTGAGCAGCTATGCAGCAGTTTTTGTCAAAATCCTTCACTAAGAATTCGTCCTCTTTTCTCTCCAGGCGCCAGTCTACTTGACGACTTATATAAATATTTCTCCTTCCATCACTCCCGTGGAGACACCATGACCGCCATGGATCCAAAGCAGATGAATGTTGCTGCTGCTGTTTGGGCTGTTGTCTCTTACGTCGTTGCAGACATGGAAGAAATGCTGCCTAGGTCCTAGCAAGAACAAGAAATAGGGCACTTTGGCCCTTTCTAGCCAGGAGTCCTGGGTCTTCAGCTTCGGGAAGCCCTTCTTCACCTAACAATTTCATCTGATTCATTTTCAAAAAACACAGTTTTTCATGCTATTATTACCTTTTCTGATACTTTCTACATCCTCTGTTTATAAAATAAGGAATGATTCATAAAATCAGTATATGGTAGGGATCACAGTGGAGGCATTTCTTTATATCACCTGTAAAAAAATACTATTTCTGCTTTTAAAGTAGAATACTGGAACTAGAAATACTCTAATTTTTATAAGTGTATTTATGAACATTAAATCAGATATGTGACACTAATTTGTTTATGTTATTTATTGAAGGATTAGAGGAATACACAATTGTAGTATGCTCTTAATGGAATGTATAGACAGGCATTTGGCTTTCTAATTTGTATATTTACAAAGATATGGATTTTTTAATTAAGAGAAAAAAATGTCACCATTTAGGAAAAAAGTCAAGTATATATAGTCTCATTGCCTTATTAAAGAAGAGTACTAGAGTTTGTCACCAGATAAATAATTACACTATATTTTTGTTTTATATATTTTACACAATATTTTATGAAGTTGGGGCTTATTCACATTTGCTGATAAAAGTACTAAGGACCAGAGGGGCTAAATAATATTTACAGGATCCCATAGAGCAAAAATACTGAGTCAAATCCACTCTGGGAACAACTGCTACTTTTTTTCACACACAATGCCCAATGCCCAGTATTCAATAAAAAATTACAAGACACACCAAAAAATGCAAATAAATAAGTAAAAAAACTCATTATCAAGGATTAAAGCACGTAAGAGAACTAGACTAAGAGATAACCCAGATATTGGAACTTTAACATAACTATGATCAATATGTTAAAGATCTAGTGGGAAAAGTGGACAACATACATGAACAGAAAAATATTTTTAACAGAGATAAAAACTTCAAAATAGAGTCAAATGCAAATACTAAAATAAAAAATACATCATCACAGATGAAGAACTTCCTTATTGACTTATCAGCAGACTGGAAAAGACTGAGAAAAAAATTAATGAACTTGAAAATAGGCCAATAAGATTTATACAAACTAAAACACTAGGAGAAAAAAGAGTGAAGAAAAACAAACACCAGAATGGATCACCCAAGATTTGTGAGCTAACATGTATGTTGGTCTAATAAACCTCTAACTGGATATCAAATGGTCTAATATACATGTAATTGAATTCCTAGAAGAAGACAGAGTATCAGTTTTATTAATGGTAATAATTACAATGATTGAAATACACAGGAAATTCTTTCATTTCTGGCAAGGTAGCAGACTAGTACTCTAAGCCTTATACTGAAACATGCTGAAAAGCATCTTTGAGAAACACTTTCTTAAATATATGAACTAACTGGTTAACAGGTAAAGAATATTAGACAAAAACTAAGTGAAGGCATGAAGAGAGATATGTAGAACATTAACCATCTTTCTCTTTGAGGAAATTTGCAGAATGTGTCAAACCTAAATTCCATTTTCACAGCCTTTCAGGAATCGGGATGATAGACAAACCCCAGAGCTAGCCACATTAGTAATATTGGAGAGCCCCAATAAATGGGGACCCCAAGCATTATACCTCAATAAATGGTGATCTAAAAATAACTTGGTGGACCACAAGGAAAATTACCATTAGTGAATAAGTGCCAAGTGGAGGATTCAAAGAAATTCCCACAGGTAAAGTCATAATAAATATATAACCACAGCCAAAAGTAAAAAACAAAACAAAAAGAATCATAGCATTCTGAGCAAGAGCAAACCAAATAAATAAAGAATTGGAATTAACTCACAATGCCCTTCTGATATTGGAATTTTAGATTAAGATTTTTTAAAACTATGTAAATTATGTTTAAGAAAGTAAAAGAATAGAGAGCAAAAGATTATAAAAATTGGCCAACCATATTATAAAAAGAAATAAAACTTCTAGAAATGTAAACTAAAGTGACATTTAAAAATTAGAGAAACAGTTGAATGGCAGATGAGAGAATTCGTAAAAACTAAAAGATAATAAATTAGTGATAATTTAGCACAGAATGAAAAAATAAGAAAAATCTCAATGAGACGTTAAAAAATATGAAAGGTAGAGATACATAATCGAATATATGTTTAGTCAGGATTCCAAAAAGAGAAAATATAAAAAAAATTATCTGAAGAGCTAATAAATGAAAATTTTCCATAAATAATGAAACATATCAATCCACAGAATCAAGAAACCCAGTGAATTCCAAATGAAATAAATAAAAAGTCTACTATGACATATTACAGAGAAACTACAGTCTACAAAACACAAAGAGAAGATCTTTGAAGCAAGAAAGGAGATGAATTAAAAGGAACAATAATAATAGCTAACTCTAAATAACAGCAACAATGTAAGCCATTTTGTATTACCCACTCATCACCGCCACCATAATCGTTGATCACACCAGTTTTAAACTTCAGAGCAACTTTTAAAGAGAAAACCTGTCGCAAAGTTGTATTCTACTCTCAAATTCCCACCAGCTGGCAAAGTGTCATTTTCTCCACCACCAACTGCCTCCTGAGTCACTGCCCCCACCTACCTAGTCCTTCCAGGAAACTGAATCCTTCCCCCCCACTCCCCCTCCCCCGCCCTTCTGCAGAGGGATTTGAGGTTGTATCCCCATTGCCTGTATCCGAGAGGTGGTTCTAAGGAAATGTATCCTGTTCCATTTCTTTGACTTTCCCCATAAGGTTGTCTACATATATGTAAAGGTCAAATAATAGCAGAAATGGCCCATTTCTTAACTGGGCTATTTACGGCTGCCTTACTGGAGGCATACGGAAGGGATGTGTGAGGAACAATGTCAGTATGAACCGGTGGAGGAGTGTGTTGGTGAGTGTGTCAGTAGCACGCACAGTAGGGGAGGAGTACATGGCAGCTGGGAAAAGAGGTGGAAGAAGAATTACAGAGAAAAGAAAGAGGTCTATACAGTTTTTTCTCGTGACAACTCTACCTGCACATCACAGGTGCTTAGGTCTACCAGCCAGCTGTGATGCCTGGCACCTACAGGCATCTTTAAGCACAATTTCTTATTTTCCATAAATCGCTGTAAAAATAACTGTCTGCTAAGAAATGATGTCTCATTTGAGGGGTGGCCTATTTCCTGGGCTAGCAGTTTTCCAATTTGACTTGAGGGTCAAGTTGCTTTTCTGATTCATTTGTCTGAGTAGCTTAAATGCAAATTGAGAAGAGAAACCCATTTGAATATCGTATAATGTGAAAAGGGTGAATTCTGTAACCAGAGAAAGAGGGAATTAGAAAGGAGGTCGATTGTTGATTTGTCCCTCACATTGTTTAGATGTGGTTTTGCGGGTTCTGATGTGTCTGTGAATGGTTTGGAGGTTACATTCCCCGAGCGTTCCACCTTACTCACAATAATTGTGCAAGCGACACTGAGAGTGTATGGACAATCCTCATGTCTTACTGAGGAATTTTGTTGCCACGCAGACCTATTTGCTCAGTATGCACCCTTCATAATAATTTGAGATGCTTCCCATTTACCTTGAGTAAATATCAGCCAGATCTTGATATCTATATCTGTCTCATGAAATATACATCCTCTCTAACTGCGCCCAAATGATTAATTTACTGCTCTGTGATGATTAGCATAAAAATCTCATCACAACACGAGATAGAAATGTTATCACTAATTGCCATTTGAAGTGAAGAATGTTTTTCCGCATAGGAATTAATGATGCATGCTTACTTCTCAATTCTGTTAAACCAGAAAACCCAAAAGTGTTTCTGGAGCAGAAAGAAATTGCCTTTGAAGTTTTTTCTTTTTTCTTTTCTAACCCTTAGATCAGCTGTTCTCAACCTGTGGGTCGCGACCCCTTTGGCGGTCGAACGACCCTTTCACAGGGGTCGCCTAAGACCATCCTGCATATCAGATATTTACCTTACGATTCATAACAGTAGCAACATTACAGTTATGAAGTAGCAATGAAAATAATTTTATGGTTGGGTCACAACATGAGGAACTGTATTTAAAGGGCCAGAAGGTTGAGAACCACTGCCTTAGATGATTCCACAGTTCAGCAAGGGAGTGGTGTAGGGTGATGGTTATTGGATCTTTGTACACAAAATGAGACAGATGAACTCAGCCATCACTTGATCAGGTCTTCCAATCAATCAATTACTCAACTTCAGGAAAAGACCTTTTCCCTGGACATTAGGACCTCCCTATGGCCCTGAAATTTGACAAACACTCTCATATTTTCAGCACATCCTAACAATACTCAAGTCCTTAATATCAATGGTGGCCATTCCAGACCTGCTCCAGCAGCCACACAGCCAAATATGATCTCAGGTATTTTTCCTAATAGCCCGAGCTAAGACAACATCCCTTATTCATGGATTGGAAGATTTAATACTGTTAAG